TGTGTTTTTTTTTCATAACTTTATCAAGAAAACCAAATCTAGAATCGGAAGTGCTAGTAGTAGTTGGTGTTGCCAAATCAAAACCATAAATAGATGCATAATGATCATAAAGGTCTCCCAAAACAGATTTGCATTTGTTAATATATTCACTAACATCATAATCGATACTTAAACTTGTATAATAAAATTCTAAAAGATTTTCCAAACCTTCAGCTTTGACACCGGGGTCAAGAATAGCAGCAATTCCATAAATGATTGGAAATTCACTAAAATAAGTATGCCACTTACGTTTCATGCTATCAAGAACGGGACGAAGTCCATCAATCTTCATATGCTCTTCGATGGTGTGAACAACTTTAACACACTCAATTATGACTAAATGAACGTTAGGCTCATAAATATAAGAGAAAATATGAGTTGCACTATCAAAAGCATTTAAAACATCACGAACAAAAGAAGCATTAGTCCAATGACTTTCGGTTATTAACTCAGTAGGATCAACACGAGTCTCATTGTAAAGTTGGGTCAAAATATCACGATACTTTATAGCATCACTCAACAACTTGAAAGTAGAATTCCAACGGGTAGGGGTATCAATAGACCATTGTCTTTTCTTAAGACCTCTCTCTTTACACATAGCTATGTACTTTCTTCTAACTGACTGAGTAATCCTAATCCATTTTATAACTGTTCTAATTGGGTTTAGCAATGGTTGCAACTCAGCGAGACCCTCTTGAACAGACAAATTCAAAATATGAGCACAACATCTAACATGCAAGAGACTACCACCCAACAACAAATTCAACTCGGAGTCATTTTTCAAATAGTCAATACACTTTGTGTTTGCAGTTGCATTATCAAGAGACAAAGAAAAAACTTTATTATTCAAGTGAAATTCTTTTAAACAATCCAAAATACGAACTTTGATGTTAAAACCGGTATGCCTTTCTTCCATAGCTTGAAAACATAGTATACGTTTTTGAATAAACCAATCATCATCCACCCAATGAGCAGTAATGCAAAGAAAAGGTTCGCCAAAACTAGAAGTCCATGTATCACTTGTAAAACTAACACGACCATCAAAAGTACGAAATAATTCAATCAAACCACTCCTATACTTATAATAAGAAGTTTGTGTATAACGTCTTAGGGTATTTCGGGGGACACGAGTAAATGCAGGTTGTAATGCAACTTTATTAAAATGCTCAACGTTTGCATTTTCACCGTAACTAAAAGGGTATTCATTAGCAATAACTAAAGTACTCATTTCATCAATCATTCTATCTTTATTATAAATGAAAGGTGTACCTCCGCCGGGTTGGTTCATGTATCCACCCAATTGTGTTTGGACGCCACCCCCCGAAGGACGGGGGCCATTTTCGAACAAGTCGTGTTTATTTTGCAAATGCCGACTCAAGGTTCCGGTTCCATCTCCCGTTTTCCAATTATATGACTTGACATTTGCACCTAGCGCCTTGCAAACTAGGCATGTACACGTGAACCTCTTTGGTTGACCAGGTTGCCATCCCGGGGGTGTGACCTCAACTCGTTCAAAATGTTTCCACACCCAAGAAAAATGTGCTCGACCTCTACTTTCACCGCCACCACCTTTCATAAATCAAATTATTAAAATTAATTTTTAAATGCTATTCATGAAAATAAGCTTTTAAATTTTAAATATTTTAATTATACTTATTTAAACGCATTTTTCATGGTAATTAACTAATTGTAAATCATAGAAAATTGGAAACTAAACTAACTTTATAATCATTAATAATAGTTTTTTTAAATATTCATAACAATAAAAATTTAATTAGAAATTACCTTGAGATGAAGGTTGAGATGTTGGTTGCGATGGAGGTGGCATAGTTGAACTTGATGATTGGTGGGACTCGTGGGAGAAATGTTGTGGTGGAGACGTTTGAATATTTTGCCTATCTCCTAAACCATAATCTCCATATTCATTGACAAATTGGTTTAAATTTTCCGTATTAATTTCATACGAAAAATTTGCACCACCACTCCTTTGGCTACCACTTCGACCACCACTTTGACTCCTTCCCATTCCTCCTCTTGAGCTCATTTTTTTTTGTATGATTACTAATTATAATATGGAGAAGAACTTTTTTTTTTAGAATCTTAAGAATACTAATAATAATATTAAGGAGATTTTTTTTAACAAAAATATAACTCTATATAACACTTGAGAATTTGAGAACAATAAGAATTTTTAAGTAAGAGAGAAAGAAAGCTTGAATTTGTGTGGAAATTTGAGTGAAATGGAATTGGTATTTATAGGAAAAATAGAATGGATGATCATACACTTAAAAAAACTAGCCGTTAGATACAAAAAACTAGCCGTTAGATACAAAAAACTAGCCGTTTTTTTTTTAAAATGGATGTTAGGCCGTGCGGGCCGTGCGGGTCGTGCGAATTGTGCGGGCCGTGCGGGTTGTGCGGGCCGTGCGGGTTGTGCCGGCCGTGCGGGTTGGGTGGGTCATGCGTGCGGGTTGGGTGGGTCATGCGTGCGGGTTAGGTGGGTTGGCTCGTGCGGGTTGGGTGGGTCATTCGTGCGGGTGGGCCGTGCGGGCTGGGTTGTGCCAGGTGGGTCGGGTTAGGTGGGTTCACGGGCTAGGTGTGTCGAATTAAATGAGTCAAAACGGGTTGTGCGATTTAGGTCGAATCAAACGGGTTAAACTGAGCTGGGTTGAAATGGATTGTGTCGAAAATTTTGGACCCACGACACAACCCGGATTAAATCCGAGCTGTGCCGGATTGAAACCGGGTCGGACCCACGTGACCCACCAGCCGTGCGAGTTAGGGTGGGCTGGGTCCAACCCGGCCCACTGGCCACCTCTACCACCACCGCATCTTTCTTCTTTCCCCTCCGATCTCAAACCACCACTGCCCACAACACCGGTGCAACAACAACAACAATACTGACGCAACAACAACAACAACAACAACACAGCCGCAACAACAACCACAACACAACCGCAACAATAACGCACAACAACAACAACAATGGCTCAACAATATCTAGATCTAGGTTTTTTTTTTATATATAATTTTTAAAATAGTTAGTTTTTGATGTCACTGTAATGTTAGTTTATGAATTTTGTTTAGTAATTGTATATTTATTTATTTCTTTAAATTGTTTTGGGTAATTTTGTTGTTTTGTTTTGGTAATTTTCGGTTTTTTTTGGCTAATTATAGTTGCTAAAATTTTCTGGTAAATTTCATGCTTGTTTTGGTAAATTTAAATATTTCTGGTTAAATTCTGGTGGTGGTGGTTTCGATTTAGTGTGGGTGGGGTTTGGTTGGGGTGGTTTCGGTTGTGGGTTAGGGTTATTAGTTGTGGTGGGTTTGGGTTTCGGTTGTGGTGGTTTCGGTGGTGGATCTAGGTTGGTGGGGATGGGTGAATCTAGAGTTTTATATAGTTTTCATGGTCGAATTTGGCCATAAAAACCCATTCGAGGCCAATTTCAGGTTTTTTTAGTGGAATTGAAGGTATATCTTCATTTTCTTTCTATTAATTTGGTTTGATTTTTTTTTTTGGTGGTGGTGGAATTGTGGTCTTGGTGGTGGGGATCTGGGTGTGGCGATTTTTGTGTAATGGGTGGTGGGTAGATTGGAAAATGGCGGTTTTGGTTGGTTTCGGTGGGGAATGGTGGTTTTGGGTGGTTTTGGTGGTGGTTTGGGAGGGTGGGGAATGACGAGGTGGGTGGTGGTGGTTTGTAGATCTGGCGGCTAGGAGAGTATTTGGGTGGTGGGGAGGGGATACGGGTTATGGTTAGGGTGGTGGGTAGGTTTTTTGGGGCAGGTGGTTTGGTTGGAAAACGAGTTGGGCTGGTGGTTTGGTGGGAAAAGGGTTTGGACGTGGTGGTGGTGGGTGGTGGGGTGGGGTGATTTATTTTTATTTTTAAAAAGCTTTTTCCGACGGAAAATTATTCCGTTGGAGATTTCAGAAGGACTTTTCGGGCCGAAAAATCTCTTCCGATGCCTGAATTCCGTCGGAAAAGGTCGTTTTCCCTACAAAATCTTTTCCGACAACCGCTTCCGACGGAAATTTCGTTGGAAACGGGTTTTTCGACGGAAAACGGGGTATTGTCGACGGAATTTTTTCCGCCGAAAATCGCCTGTTTCAAGTAGTGAATAAACCCTAATTCTTTCATTTCTTTCCTTCCACACTAGCAGCCGTCACTCCCTCTTCTTACTCTCCTTCTCAAGTTTCCTCCCTAAATTACTCATCTATATTAAGAGGTGGGCACCGTGCCGTGGCAGGCCACCGCGGACCGTGCCTGCCAGTTCGCGGGCCGGGCATGCCGGGCCACAATTTGGCACACCCCAGCCCACGACACGGCACGGCCCACGTGCCTGGCGTATCAGGCAGCGGGCCGCCACGTTAAATTTTTTTTTTTTTTTAAAAAAAAAGAATTGATATATATTTTTTTGATATATATATATATATATATATTCCGTGCCTATGGGCTGTGCTTGTGGGCCGGCACACGGGCCATACGTCGTGCCGCCCACCCATGACATGCTGTGCCCGTGCCGTTTTCCAAAAAAATTGTCCAAGGCACGGCCCACGGCTGGGCCACCGTGCCGGGCCGTGCCGCCACCGTGCCATGCCCGTGTCGGCACGGCCCATGCCCACCTCTATCTATATTCTTGAAGAAAAAATTATCAACTTAATAATTGTAACTATGGATCTCCATCAGGTAATTACATTGCATTTTTTTTTTAATTAGATGATAATCAGATAATTGCAAATGGATATTTATCAGGTATACATTTCTTTTCTTTTCTTTTTTTTTTTCAAAATTCGAATTCTTCATGGTTTAATATGGTATTAATGTATTCATCTATTTGGGTTTCTTTGTTACTATTATTGTTTTAATTTTCGGTTAGATATATCTAGTATTCTATTTATGTTGATGTTAAATTTCGAATTTTAGTGCAAATTTTTTCATGTTTTATTATTTTTTTGATGCTACTGTATTTTTCTTTTAACTGTTATTTCATTTTGGTATTATTATTTGTCATTTTTTATTGTATCTTTTTTGTAATTTTCGACTAATTAGATATAAAATATAAAGTCAGATTTAAATGATTAAATCTTTCTTTTTTTTGTTTTTTTTTTGTTTGTGTGTGTGATACAAATTTAATTTTAAAATCATGGTAAAGTCCACAACAAGTAAAAAACGTGCAATTGATGATGATGATATAGGAGAAGAAGATAAAATCAAAGAAGAGGCAAATGCTAGTATACGTGATGGTCGATTAGCGGTGTGGAATGATATGGAGAAGCTTAAAACTTCTGACAAGAACGAAACCAAGCAAAATGTGAGCACTGTAAGCAAATTTTTACTGCCAAATCTAGCAATGGAACTTCCCATTTAAAAAGACATCTTGGTAAATGTGCTGCAAAAAATAATTCTTCCATAAATTTTTTTTTTCCTTGGTGCTGATTGTAGTTCTGGAGCTCAATCATTATCTTTAAAACATCCTAAAATTGATCCTCATGAACTTAGAAAAGCCATTTGTATGTTTGTTGTTGCTGGAGCTCATTCTTTTTCAACTATTGAAGAACCTGGTTTTAAACACATGCTTTCTGTTGCTTGTCCTAGCTATAAGGTATTGAGCAGACACACATTAAGAAGAGATGCATTGAAGTATTATGAAGAGGAAAGAAAAGTTGTTGAATCTGGTTTGCAAAACGCTTGTGGTAGAATTGGTTTTAATTCTGATAATTGGAGAAATGATTGTACACAAGATGAGTATATTTGCATAACTGCTCATTGGATTGATGTTAATTGGAAGTTGCAAAAAAGAATTATTAGATTTGGTGCATTAACACCTCATTTTGATGGGATTAGTATTGCTGAGGATGTTTCTCTTTGTTTGGCTAAATGGAAAATTGATGGAAAAGTAGGAACATTTACATTAAACAATGCATCCTACAAATAACACTATGGCTAGTCAAATTAAGAGACAACTTGTAAGGAATGGGAAGGAGCTTTTATTTTGTGGTGAATATTTTCAAATTCGTTGTTGTTGTCATATCATAAACTTGATTGTGCAAGATGGTCTTAAGCTCATTGATAGTGTTGTGGATAAGATTTGAGCAATTGGTAAACATTTTAGGTACTCCATTCCAAAGAAGAAAAAGTTTTAGGAAATTGCTCAACAAACTTATCATTTGGATCCTAAGAAAAGAATTCGAGGTGATTGTTGTGCTAGGTGGAATTCAACTTACTTCATGCTTGATCGTGCTCTTTATTTTAGGGCAGCAAGTGATCATGTAGTTGAAAAGAATAGTGAGATCAAAATGTATCTTCTTGATGATGATGAATGGAAAAAAGTGTCGGTGATTCATGAGTTTTTGAAGCTTTTTTATGATGTCACAAATAAATTCTCTTCTTATAAAACTTCAATTGCAAACATTTTTTTTAAGGGGGTTTGGGATATTCAATGCATGTTACTTGAAGTAGGCAAATGGGCCACATTAATTTTTAATTGACATGGTGAAAGCAATGCAAAAAGAAATTTGACAAGTATTAGTCCGATTATCATATTTTGTTGTCTTGTGCATGTGTTTTGGATCCTCGTTACAAGTTGAAATTTGTTGAATATTCTTTCATTACTCTTTATGGAGAATTGCATGCTAAGGAGAAAGTGAAAGAGGTGAAAGCTATGTTATGCAATTTACTTAGGGAGTATAGAGATGTTGATGGTGGGGGTGTTGGTGAAAGTGGTGAGGTTAGTCATGATAATAGAACGAGCAATGCTTCTTTTTCTAGTGGTAATGATAAGATGGCTAATTTTGGTTCTTGGATGAGTAGTCAACAACAAAATGTGAATGATAAGTCTCAACTTGATCTCTATTTGGAAGAAAAGAATGTTGATTTTAATTCCAAGATTGATGTGTTGGTTTGGTGGAAAAATAATGGGGCACATCGACATCCACAATTTGCGGCACTGGCTCGTGATATATTAGACATTCTATTTCTTCCGTTCCTTTCGAGTCGACTTTTAGTATGGGTAAGAAGCTAATTAATCCATGGAGGGCTTCACTTACTTCCATGACAATTGAATCCCTTGCTTGCTATGAGGATTGGCTTCGTGCAAAAGGTTTCTCTTTAGGTGATGTTTTGTTTCATTTTAATGTCATTGTATTTTTTTTTTATTATTATTCATTCAACTAACCTTTTGTATATGTTTCTCATTTTGTCAAGGTGGGTCAAATATTTTCTCACCTCAAGATCCCAATTATGAAGACGAAGAAGATGAAGATGAGCAAAACAAAGTTCAACGCGAGACTATTGAAGTTGATTAGTTTTATAATTTAACTCTAGTATAATTTTCAATATTGTGTGTTTTGGACATTGGTTTGTAAACTTAAACTTTGTTGGAACTTGGATTGTATCCTTTTTTAATATTTGTAGGCTTTGTTGTACTTCCATATTTAAAACTTTTATTATTATTTGTACTAGTTTAGTTAAAAAATGGAAAATTTGTCAAAAAAAAAACCTTTTAAATGCACCATTTTGCGAAAAAAAAACCTTTTAAAAGCTTTTTTGTAAAAGAAAACCCGAAGTTAAATTTTTTTGTTGAAGACAACATGTGCCTCTATTTCACTTAATTAAGCTCTAATTTTTTGTAATTATCCTGTAACTCTCGCTTAGCCATTTTATAATTAAATTAAATAAAAACCACCATATCATCCCAACCACCACTCCACCAGCCAGCCACCCTCTCCGTCTCCTCCTCCCTCCCCTGGCAGCAGCCCCCTCCCCCCAACTGAGCCACCGCCCTGAATCGCTGGCCGACCTCTCTCCCTTTCCCCCTTAACCCCGCTGCAACCCTTCCCCTTCCCTAAACCCTAACCCCGACCATCCACCTTTCCCCCTTGGACAACGATGAGAGCAGAACATCAAGTGGCGGAGGATCCTCGAAGATTACGACGACGCGGCGACGAATGCGAGAAAGAGGGAGAGAGAGTGAGTCAACGAGAGAAAAGGAAGAGGGAGAAGAAGCGTGCCACCTGACCGGAAACACCCATTAATTGCTCGATGTTAGGGTTTAGGGAGGGGGGAGGGTTGCAGCAGGGTAAGCGCGTAGGAAAGGTAGCAGGGTCGGCTGGCAGTCGAGGTGGGTCGCCGGGAGTTGGGGGTTCAAGGCGGTGGCTCGGTTCGGGGGAGGGGGTTGCTGCCATGGGAGGGGGAAAAAGAGGGAGTGGCTGGTTGGTGGTGGTGGTGGTGGTTTTTGGGTTTTTTTTTTTTTTATTATTTATAAGTTAAATTAATTAATAAATGGTTAAGTGAGACTTAGAGGATAATTAGAAGAAATTAGAGCTTAATTAAGTGAATTAGAGGCATTAGATTGTCTTCAACAAAAAAATTTCACAATTGAGTTTTCTTTTGCAAAAAAATTTTACTTCGGGTTTTCTTTTACAAAAAAGCTTTTAAAAGGTTTTTTTTTCACAAAATGGTGCATTTAAAAGGTTATTTTTGACAAATTTTCCTTAAAAAATTAAAATTTATAGTTTTATGCACTAACAAATTTTAAATTACAAAAAAATAATTAAAATTGATTACTCTAGACAAGCAGGCCCGAAATGGTCCGACTGGGATGGGTTTGGGCAGCAATATTCTGGCCCGACCTGACATGGCCCGACAATTTGGGCAGAAAAAATTCAGCAGTCCGGCCCGAATCCGGCCCGCCCGATGTTTGATCAGGTCTAAATAAATGGTTTTCTGTAAACTTTTAGATTCAACTTTTATCGGAGGGATATTGGATAAAAAAATTAACGTTATTATTCAAATCTTAAGAAAACCGATTCATCTACCCAATACCATAAATATAACAGCGAAGGTCACAGCTACCATACAACTACTTCTATCTTTTCCAGAAAAACACACCTTTTATTTAATGTAACATCATTTTTGTAAATTCCCTTATACCCCAGATCTTGCTTATTAGAACCCACCACTTTTAATCATAAAAAGATAAAACAATTTCAATCATTTTCAGATTTTTCAACACTCAAAAAAGTCAAAAAATTAAATTTTTTTTTTTTTTTAGTGGGACTCAAATTTTTATCTATATATACATTTCCAAAACTTTATCCACTCACTAAAATTTTATTTTTATAAGAACTTCTGAGTATTATATAAAGAGGTAACGTGCATTAATATATTTTTAAAAGAAGTGAAAATTGTGTGTTTTTTTAAGGAGAGTAAATATGAGCAAAAGGGTTTTATCCGGTGATGTTTGGTGGTGGTTGACGGTGGTTTTGGTGGTTGTTGTTGGTGGTTATGATGGCGTAAACTCGTACCCGAAAGAGGACCTTGTTGTAAATTTACCTGGACAACCAAAGGTTGATTTCAGGCAATTTGCTGGGTACATTGATGTTGATGTTAAAGCAGGAAGAAGCTTGTTTTATTATTTTGTTGAAGCTGAAAATAATACTCAACATACTCCTCTTACTCTTTGGCTTAATGGAGGTATAATGTAGTTATTTTGGTTTTCACAATTTTTTTAATCGTACATTGATGTACTTACCAATGTGATTAGGTTTCGTATGACTTTTTATTAATGAATTTTTGTCGGTTTTATAAAAAAAAACTCGTTCCTAGATTGTTCGAGTAGGGTATGTTACTTTGAGTTGTGTTGTTTGTATGTGCTTTTTTAATTAACCAAGGACAAATTTTTTTAAAAAAAGGTTTCTTTGTTTTTGTTTTTGTTAGAAGAAGTTTTGCAGTTTATTGTTACTGTTGTATAACTGTTTTTACTGCAGGACCTGGTTGTTCATCAATGGGAGGTGGTGCATTTACAGAATTGGGACCATTTTTTCCAAAGGGTGATGGAAGAGGTTTAAGGGTTAATTCAAAGTCATGGAATAGAGGTTGAAATTTGGACTTTATATTAATGCAATTCATGTTATGTTGTCGAATTATGCAATAGTTTTAAGACCTTTGTTGTGATATCTTGTGAATTTGTTATTTGTAGCGTCGAATCTACTCTTTGTTGAATCGCCTGCTGGAGTGGGATGGTCGTATTCAAACAAATCGTCTGATTATAATACCGGGGATGTAGCCTCTGGTATGGACTAGGAAGCACTTGTTTGATGCTAAATTTTGGTTGAATTTTTTGGTTCTGCAAGTATTAGGCCTGTTTCTGATTTTTTGATATTTAACTTACATTGCAGCTAAGGATATGCTCACATTTCTGGTGAATTGGATGGTGAAGTTTCCTGAATTCAAATCCAGGGATCTGTATCTTACTGGGGAGAGTTATGCAGGTTTGTTCGTAGCATAACTCGCATTAATTTAGTTGTTTTTGAAGCAGGAAAGATTTCAATGAATTCTCTGTTTGCATTGTACAATTACTTAGTTGGGATTGAATTAGATGAGAAGTTTTATGATAACTTTTGTTGTCCTAGTTGATTAAAATGCTTTACCTAACTGTTCCTAGGTTGTAGGCTGTACATAATTTTCCTTGATCTAATTATTTTAGTTGTGAACCCGGATACTCAAGTTGCCTTACCTGTAGCAATTTTTCCGAAATTTGTTTTTGTAAGGTCATTAAGAACAAAGCCTGATATTCTGGATTTCATTCAAAGCTAACTTGTCAGTTACATTCCTGCTCTCTTACCGATCTTGCTCTTAGATTTCTGACATTATCGACGTTTATACTGCAGGGCACTACATACCACAACTAGCTGTTGCTGTGTTGGATCATAATGCTCAATCTAAGGCCTCAAAGCTTAACTTAAAAGGAGTTGCTGTAAGTAGTGCAGTTTCTGCTATTTTGATAGGTTAAGTTCTTTTTTTAAATGTTCAATGTCGATAACCTGTTTTGCTTTCTGATTTTGAATTAGATTGGAAATCCACTTCTCAAACTCGATAGAGATGTTCCAGCAACATATGAGTTTTTCTGGTCTCATGGAATGATATCTGATGAAATTGGCCTTGCCATCATGAATCAATGTGATTTTGAAGATTATACCTTTCCAAATCCTCATAACGAAACTGATGCTTGCAACAATGCAATATCAAAAGCAAATACCATTGTTGGTGATTATGTCAATGCATATGATGTCATCCTTGATGTCTGTTATCCATCTATCGTAGAGCAAGAACTGCGGTTGAAAAAAATGGTGATATATCTATCCTTCATAGTAATTTTTTACCCTGACATAAAACGAGTAACAAAACATTGTTGCAAGAATTTCAGATGCTTATTATGAATGGATTGATTTTTGTTCCTGAATACAAGTATAATTTCTTTTTCAGGCCACTAAAATGAGTGTTGGAGTTGATGTTTGTATTACTTATGAAAGAAGATTCTATTTCAATCTTCCTGAAGTACAGAGAGCTCTCCATGCAAATCGGACAAATCTACCTTATGAATGGTCTATGTGCAGTAGGTATGTAATTTTAGGAAACCACTCTGTCTACTTATGGTGATTGATTTTCTCAGCTATATCTTTGTATGATATAAGCTATATCTTTATATGATATAACATTTTCTGCTAACTCCTTCAGATATAATGAAAAATTCTACCAAGGCATAGTAGGAAACTAGTACAAGTATTCCTTACAAAATTGACCCGATTTGAAATAACTTGACTCAAACCCATAACTCTACCCAAAAATTTGTAACCATTATTGACCCGTATCTAAAATGATCTAATCCTGCCAGGAAATTGATTAGACTAGAGTTGATTCATTATAGACACAATTTGATCCAACCTGAATATGCACTTAACAGAACTGAAATTTAGTTTTCTTTCTTTCTTTCTCATTTTTGAGTTTCTGACAATGTCTGGTTTTACAGCATTCTGAATTACTCTGACACTGATGGTAGCTTGAATATGCTTCCTCTGCTTAAAAGAATACTGTTGCACGACATTCGTGTTTGGATTTTCAGGTAACAGTCTACGAAACTTACACGTTTCAAACAAAATATGAAGGGATATATCAAAAATTACACTGCTTAAACTCTTTTCTTTAATATTCGGCAAGCCTAAACATCTGTTACATTGTTGACAGTGGAGACCAAGATTCTGTTGTGCCCCTGCTTGGCTCCCGTACCCTTGTTCGTGAGCTTGCTCATGACCTCAAATACAACGTCACCGTCCCATATGCAAACTGGTTTCACAAAGGACAGGTAAATTGTTGATGCATTGATGTCAACTCTCTCCCTTTTTTCTGTTCTTACTTCTCTTAATCAAGTCTGCAATGTTTTTCTGGTTATAACATTTGATATACTTACAGGTAGGAGGTTGGACAACCGAATATGGAAACTTACTCACATTTGCGACTGTGAGGGGCGCTGCACATATGGTACCTTATGCACAACCATCAAGGGCTCTGCATCTGTTCAGTTCATTTATTCGTGATCGAAGACTGCCAACAACAACTAAAGAATCCGTTGAATGATGAGCTAGATTGGAAACTGATCTAGTTCTGGGTGCTCTCAAGTTGCATCCTGCAGTTCTGTATCTTTCTACTAAGAGGGATAGTTTTTAGATGATTAGTGATAAAGGGATAGAACTACTTCATATTTTCGAAATAAAGGATACTTAGGATAATAGGATTTTCGATTCTTCTGCAAGATTAAAGTGAGGGAGCATAGATATCTGTCATTTGAGTTTCGGAATCAGGGTCAAAGGAGCCTGATTCCTGTGATTTGAGATTTGTAAGTTAGTTTGACGTTGTTTTGCAGTTTTTTTTTTATTATTTTTTTTTAATTTTTTTTTTATGGGAAATAAATTACATGTTCAAACATATTTGTGTAGCAAGTCAACAAAACTCAAGGCAGGTACATAATAAACACATTTTTTGCTGTAATTCCTCCCTCATCATGTATCAGCAGTAGTATAAGTTATTTCAATCATTCAAGTGATCAATAGCCCGCCTAGCTCAGTTGGTAGAGCGCAATTCAGGGTATATCCCCATCACCCTCCATGGGTGGTAAGCATTACAAAAACAATGGGTTGTTGTGGTCGTGGGTTCGATTCCCACGGCGGGCAGCTCTTTTTTTTTCACCATTTTAGAGTTGATTATTTGGTGTAACACCCATTTCTCGTATCCTGGCTTAGGATGTGATGATTACACGGTTTGGGGAGATTGGTTCAAAACCATGCAATAATTTTAGATTTGCAGGGTTTGTGTGCTCAGGCAATCAACAATTAGTAATTTCTAAGAAGAGAAACTAAGTGGTCAAGACATCTTTTATTTTAGACGTTTCAAAATAATGGTTACACTTACACTTTTTTCACGTTGTGAGTGTAAAAAAGTATAACAAAAGACATTTTCTTAGAACTCACAAATTTCCTTCTATTTGCTTGCAATCAAACAAGCACTTAATTTATTGTTTGACCAATTTATTTGAAATGCATAACATATAACAGGGTAACTTATTGAAATAAGTACTCCGTTATAAAGTCCATGTAAACTAAACATGACCGCTTCAAAAATTGGAAAACATCGAGACTAAATTGCACCCATTGACACCAACTTTAGAATACGTTATAAATATCATCACAAACTTATATAATTTTTTTTCTAAAACAATAAGAACTATTTGCAAGCATATGAATGATGGTTATTCGGTGTCATTTATGTCAATTTAGTTATTTTTGTAGCAAGTTGGTGTGAAAGATTCAAAGTGATTTGTAGCAAGTTGGTGTAAAAAATTTAAAGTGTTACAAAGTACAAGTTAGTGTCAATAGTTGCAAAACACCACAAAGTTGGCGTTAAAAAGAGTAATTTTGCTAAGAGGTCACGTCCGGTATGCGCTGCGCCGGAAACTAAGAGCTGTACTCTGCTTGTCATTTGTCAATAAGTTCTTAAATCCTTCAAAACAAGCAATCATCAAAGTTCTAATTTTGTTTCAGAAATGTTTAACCATGATTAAAGCACTGAACTTTGGCTTCTTATTTTTCAACAAAAATGTACAAGAAAAACTCCCAATTTATACGTTACTTCTGCAAATTCACACCAAAATTTCCAACCCCACATCAAATTACACATGGGGTTTATGACCATCTTCTGAAACTATGCTTGGAACAATGTGGGAAAATCAAGGCACGCCAAGTGTTCGACGAAATGCCTCAGAGAATATCCCAAGCTTTTAATGCTTGTAAAGTTATCCATGCTAGTACCTTGAAGTTGGGTTTTGGGTTAAATGGGCAGTTGGGGAATGCAATTCTGGATTTGTATGCTAAATGTGGTAATGCAGGATATGCCAACAGGGTTTTTGAGAGGTTGGAGATGAGGGATGTGCAAGGGTGGAATTCAATCATGTCATTGTATTTGAGAAGTGGGTTGTTAGATAGAGTTGTGGAGTTATTTGGGTCAATGAGGACTTCGGGTGTCGTGCCGAATCCTTTTACTTATGCTATTGTGCTGTCTGGTTGTGCCAGGATGATGCTGATTGAATTTGGGAAGCAGGTACATTGTGATGTTATTAAGATGGGTTATCTGTGTCATACCTTTTGTGAAGGTTCTTTGACTGATATGTATGTTAAATGCAATTCTTTAGGTGATGCTAGGCGAATGTTTGATCACTTGTGCAGTCCGAGTTTGGTTTCGTGGACTGCGATGATTACAGCGTATGTTCAGATGAGATTACTTGATGAGGCACTTAAAGTGTTTGAGTGTATGCAAAGTTTAGGTTGTGTTCCTGATGATGTGGTATTTGTGACCGTGATTAGTGCATTTGTTAATAATGGTAGGCTGGATAAGGCAAGGGATTTGCTTACCCGGATGCCTTTTCCAAACACTATAGCTTGGAATGTTATGATTTCTGGTTATGCAAAAAGTGGAAATGAGGCAGAAGCTATAAATCTCTTCCTAAACATGAGGAAAGCCGGTGTGCCATCTTCTCGTTCCACTTTAGGAAGTGTTCTAAGTGCCATTGCTAGCTTGAAGTGTCTTAATGTAGGCCTACCAGTTCATGCCCAGGCAATTAAGCAAGGGCTTGATCATAATGTTTTCGTGGGAAGCTCTTTGTTAAATATGTATGCCAAATGCCATAAGCCAGAGTCTGCAAGGCAAGTCTTTGATTACTTGGACCAGAGAAACATTGTGCTGTGGAATGCAATGCTTGGGGGCTACGTACAGAACGGGTTTGTGAATGAGGTGGTTGAATTGTTCCTGGATATGAATGGTGGTGGTTTGCAGGTTGATGCATTTACTTATACCAGCATTTTGAGTGCATGTGGTTGCTTGAAGTGGCTGGATTTTGGAAGCCAATTGCATGCTGTGATAATTAAGACCAACTATGAGTCTAACTTATTTGTAGGCAATGCATTGGTTGATATGTATGCTAAATCAGGCAGTTTAGCTGAAGCAAGGCAGCTTTTTGAGACTATAGAGGGTAGGGATAACGTTTCTTGGAATGCAATCATTGTTGGGTATGTCCAGGTGGAAGAGGAGAATGAGGCTTTTGGCCTGTTTCGGAGAATGATGTCTGATGGTATGGCGGCTGATGAAGTTGCTTTGGCCAGTCTACTCAGTGCTTTTGCTAATTTAAAAAATCTTGCCCAAGGAAAAGCGTTACATTCTTTATCAGTGAAACATGGTTTAGCAACTAGCCTTTATGCAGGAAGCTCACTTATTGATATGTATGTCAAGTGTGGGGTGACTGAGACTGCATGCGAGGTATTTTATAGGATGCATAATTGGAGTGTAATCTCTATGAATGCTTTGATTGCTGGATTTTCTCAGGACAATCTGGAGGAGGCAGTAAAAATCTATAAGCTTATGCTGGCTGAAGGACTATGTCCTTCTGAAATCACTTTTGCTAATCTTTTAGATGCATGTCATGGTCCTTGCGGATTTAATTTAGGGAGGCAAATCCACTGCCTCTTGCTAAAGAAAGGGATCTTGTATGACGAGGGATTCTTGGGTATATCTCTATTGGGCATGTACATGGATTCCAATAGCAATGCAGATGCAGGCAAACTATTCTTGGAATTTCCAGAGCAAAAGAGTGCAGTACTATGGACATCTATGATCTCTGGTTTAAGTCAAAATGATTGCCATAAGGAGGCTTTGGAGCTTTATAGAGGAATGCGTTGCCAAAATGTTTTGCCTGATCAAGCAACATTTGCTAGCATTCTCAAAGTATGCTCCTTTTTAACTTCATATAAGGATGGTACTGAGATCCACTCCTTTGCTTTTCGGTCTGGCTTCAATTCAGACATGTTAGTGGGCTGTGCTCTTATAGACATGTATGCCAAATGCGGAGATGTAAGAAGTTCTGTAAAGGTTTTTGAGGAGGTTGGCTGTAAATGGGATATTATTCTGTGGAATTCAATCATTGTAGGATTAGCTAAAAATGGTTATGTAGAAGATGTACTAAAGATATTTGGTGAATTATTGCAGTCACATGTATATCCTGATGAGGTGACGTTCCTTGGTGTCCTTAGTGCTTGTAGTCACGGAGGCAAATTAAGTGAAGGCCGTCATATCTATAATCTGATGGTTAACCAGTGCGGTATTCAGCCAAGACACGATCACTGTGCCTGTATGATTGACCTATTTGGTCGATGGGGGTTTCTTGAGGAGGCAGAGAACTTTATTGAAGAGCTGGAGTTTGAACCTGATGCTAAGATTTGGGCTTCATTTTTAAATGCTTGCAAGTTACATGGAGATGATGCAAGGGGTAGGAAAGCAGCAGAAAAACTGATTAATCTGGACCCTCATAATTCTTCAGCATACATTTTGCTTTCAAGTATACATGCTTCCTCAGGTAATTGGAGTGAGGTTGACTCTTTGAGAAGGAAAATGAAAGAAAAGGGTGTCTCAAAGTTTCCTGGATCTAGCTGGATTGATAGTATGGAGGAGAAAGTTGTTCATAGCTCGCAATGATATATTGATGATGTTTGAGGCTGCTTTTTTCAAGGTGCATTGAAGACCATACTTCACTTGCAGTTGGGACAATGTAAATTTATCGGAACACTTAGGTAGTGTGCCTCACCATCTTTCTGCTGTCATTCCAATGTAAAGTCTATTGAAGAGCATCCCATAATCTGCTATATTTGAGATTCAAAGCAGACCAAGCAGTACTTTGACAATCAATCATGACGAAACTGATTGCGGAGGAAGCTAATTTTAAAACGCTGTTGTACATATCCACCTTCAAATTTTGAGAAGGTAGTAGACTATCGAAGGTGAAGTACAACAACAATAGCAGCCCTGCGCGGATTCCTACTTTGGCAGGATGTGGGGAGATTATATATGTGCACAACATTATCAGTCAAGATTAGAAGATAGCTCCTAAATGCAGAATATCTACAGAAGGGAAAAGTAAATAGACAAGGTATAAAAATAGTAGCGAGAAATATAATCTTTATAGGAAAATATAATTTTGTAGTTGTGGCGATAGAAAAGAATGGTAACAGAGATCTTATATATTTTTTTTGCAGGGACACGGGGTTAGAACTATGGTGGTGTTAAGTCTTCAAAGAGAACAACTCAGTAGCAGGAAACTGTAAGTGAATCATTATCATATTATCTAGCTTAAGCATCAAAAGTCTTTATTTTTAAGGGGTGAGTGGGGGACAATTGGAATTCTGCTACAATATTTGTTATTGTTGTGCTGCAATTCCAGCATAATTTTCCTGATGAAATGTTGCATTGTTTTCCATAATTTTTGGGGTTATGTTTCTCCATCATCCTCGTACAAAATAAGAATCCTCTGCAGTTGTGCATATAATTTACTAATGTGAAGCTCTAAGATGTGAATAAGGTTCTTATTTGAACATTGGACTCTTTAGTAATTTGTGACTTCTCTTATGGACTTGATCTGATTTTGTTAATTTATGGATTTATCCCTCTGTTATTTGGTTTACTATTTCTTGTAGTTCAATGTGCTTCCCCCCCCCCCCCCCCTCTTCCACATTTCAATCCCTTTGTCTACCATAACATAGGTATGTTGATAAGTGAACATAAATAAGTTGCTTGCTACAAAGCCATTCATTCCGTTTGCTGTCGACCCTTACAGATGGTGATTATAAAATGATCAAATTGGGAGCAGAATGTATGTAGTTGCCTTATGTGAAGCTTCAGGAGAGATTGAAAGAGCAAGTCAAATGTATGGGAAGTATATATATGTTGATGAAGTTCATGATTGTCAAACTTTGAGCTTAGAAAGAGAGATTCTAGGGTATTAATCAGAAATGATCTTACATCTCATCTATATATGTACATCAAGGATTCCAGTGTGATTCTGATCTATTTTGTTTCAGGGAAGAAGGAAGGGCTTTTGAACCCTGTTCCTAGCTGGAAGATCTTAAGTTGGAAGTTAGACACAACTCTGGATTGATGGAAAAGAGGTATCTACTCCACTCCTGATAAGTTATACCTTAGAAGCTTTCGTGATGAGAGTTCAAGGAGTTACCAATGTTATGCATAAACAATTCACCACCTATCTTATTTGAGATTTTGGAATTTTTTTTGGAAGTTTTCAAGCATTTGCAAGTTTCAGCATTCTGAAAAGCAGGGCTAGGTCAACATTAAAGCAGAGGCATTTGGACCCTGCAGTGCTACTTTATATGGTACTCTTATACTTCGTATATGTAATGAAAGTAGCAACATTTTGGGAGAAGTTGTATTCTTTTGCTTCCCAATTCTATGATTCAGTCTTCAGTTTTTTTACTTGTTAGGAGTGAATTATATTTTTTTCTTGCCCTCCTTCAGATTTATAGCCTTTCAAGGGATGCTACTAGCTGCTCAATGATACTTCAAATTAATACCATTTCTTCCCTAGACCTTGCATAACAATTGAGTGTCCTAGAATATTCTGACTATTTATATTTGTAATTCAATTTGGCTTATATGATTTTTGGTACTTTTTTGTTTTACCCTGATATGGCTTTAGGTACTTGATTGGTTTTTTGGCTTTGATCTTATTGACATGATTAATTAGTATCAAATTATTGTTATTGACTTTTCAGTTGTGCGAAAAAGCTGGAATGGCTTTTTTCTCATTGCCTTTCTTTTGCCCAAATTTTGTTGCTTTTGTTACTAGCTAACTAAAACAACCAATTTGTTCAAAAAAAATAAAACACTAAAACAACCAATACAAACAGCTAATTAACTAGTCAAGCTAGCCAATTGAACCAGTCAGGAAACAACTATGCCAATTACCAATAGCTGATCTCCTGCAAAAGACCTTGATTTGAAACTTTGCTTCAAGTAATATGCTAGAATTGTCAAAAAAAATTTAATCTAGTCTAGTTGGTAACACACAGTGTATCTGGAGTACTTTACACTGTTCTTTGTGGTATATCTTTCAGTTAGGGGATAATGCTAGAATTTATGTTGCAGGCAGGAGATTTCTCATGCTCCAGTTCTTGAAGTTATATGCTCAACACCAGAATGCCAGATAAACCCAAGCTTCTTAGTTAGGTGAACAAAAAAGACACTTCGTTGTTTAGTTGTTTCACTCAGGTATCTGTTCCTGTTGTTTCTGTAGCTTGTAGAGTTGTTAGATGACATTATAATGGCAAATCCTGTCCTTGATATCATTTGAAGTAAGTTGCTGCTAAAATCTCATCATTTAGTTTTTCCTTAATTGTGCTCTATTAAATTACCTGGTAAACACCCCAACAAAGTTGCATATCAGATTAAGGCTTAACTAGAAGCATCCCTCGCTGTTATCTAAAGTGGAAGCATACGTCTAACATTCCCCCTATTGTGCTGAGAGTGGGACTTTATAATTCATCAAGAGTAACGAAAGGGTATGCTTAAACATGTAGATGTATGGCATAGTAATAATTACGGAGTAGCTTCTTTTTGAACAAGAGTTTAGGGTTCAAATTTCTAGAAGAGTTTTTATTATTTTATTTTATTTTATTTTTATCTTGCAAGCTAATTAGGTGCATTAGGTGGCTTTCCCTGTAAAAAGCACAACAAACTTCTTAATCTATTAAGAGAATTGTCTATATTGTGGCGCTTTATCATTGTATCAAGTTTATCAAATCCTTGATTTGCCAAGTGCTTCTTGTAGGATTTGATTTATATAGCCTTGTGATATATCTACAAAGCAATTTCCGAAGAGAGACATGTTTTCCTAAACTTTTGCTCATGTATGAGGCTGTGAGCAATGGACCCATCTACTCAGTCATACTGAGTTTTATTTGGCCCTTAAATTTTTTATCATACTGAAATTAGTGTTGAATCTCTTTTGTATAAGTTCCCAAAACTTTTTGCATAATTTTTCACCCTCATATAATCTTAATTGGTTTACAACTTCCAGACTAACTTTAAAAACATCACTTCCTTAGACCCCCATATCTTAATTTCTGAAAGTATTGAGCCGAATAGATCTCACTGTCTTCTTCACAAAACCCCTCCATTCTAGAAAACCACTTTCTTTGCTGATGAAGCTCCTCTCATAATTTACAAAGATATGGTATGTGCAACAGCACCTAGTATGTAAGACAAGACTTTAGTCTCCGTCTGCTCATCTTTACTCAACTTCTTAAGTCAAGTGTGGTAATTCTGTTCTCTCCTTTTCTTCTTTATTTATCTCGCCACTATTTCCTCTGTTGCAAATGCTGTAATCATAATTTTCTTCACAAGAAGTCAGAGGCACTAGCATAGAGATGGTTGTTGATTAAATGTTGAGGCCTTATTTTAATAATTTTGATTTTTTAGTTTGGCCCTTGGAAATCTTTGAGCTCTAATACCGCTGTTACTTGATGGAGAAAAGTGAGAAGGAAATGAGAGGGGAGAATGAATGTGTTTCTCTTATTGAATTGTATGCTTTCATGCTGTTAGTGAAGCACTGGCTTCCCTGGGAAGTATGACAGTGTCCTTTGTTGAAGGCATCTTGTTCTTCTGTAATTCAGGCTTCAGTAGATTCTTCTGCAAGCTGGTATTGACGTATGGTTGATGTTGATGCGAGAAAGCATTCAACACCCTCCATTATTCTTCCCTCTTTCTATTATCTCTACTAGAATAAAGAGCCATGAAGTACCATGGCTTATAGCCAGCTGTTCTGATTATCTACAGTGATATAGAAGGCTGGTGGTCCATTTGTATCTATAACTAATTAAGAGCACCAAATATTGCCTTTTGTCCTTTGAAAGACCTTCTGGCTTAATCAGGGTTTTACCACTCCACTTATGTTGGTTACATACCCGTTGGCTTGTTTGTCACACTAATGCAGGACTGCAACAAAGCATAGATTGTTGTGCTATATATAGTCTACAAATGATTGCTTGTAGAATGCCATTGAAGATCAAATATTGTATCTATCATCAGAACTCTGTGGGATGCATGGAAGTAATCTGACAAAAGCTTAATTCTGACGTCATGCAGACCAAGCATAACCTTGCAAGTTGCAAGGGCGGGTCTTGATAAATAATCAACTGCTGTTGTACATCTCCAACCTTATAATCTTGTGAAGTTATTGAACTATAGAAGGTAAATTACAACTATAGCAGCCCAGTGAAGATTCCCACTTTGGTAGGATGTGTGGAGATTTATATGTGCACAATGTTACTAGTCAAGACGAAAAGAGAGCTCCTCAATGGAGATTACCTAAAGAATGGGAAAGTAAATTGACAAGGTATAATAATTAGTAGCGAAAGATTATAAGATTTGACAATTTAATACTGTAGTTGTAACGACGAAAAGGAATGGTTACATAGATCTTACAAAATTGATATGGCAGGGGCACAGGGTTAGAGCTATTATGGTATTAAGTCTTCAAAGAGAACAACTTGAGCAGGATAAACTGTAAGTAAATCATTATCATACTATCTAGCTTAAGTTTTTATTTTTAAGGACGGAATGGAACAATTGGAAGTCTGCTACAATTATTATTAATGTTCTGCTGTAATTTCACTGTAAGTTTCTTGTTAACATGTTGCATTGTTTTCCGTCATTTTCGGGGCTATGTTTCTCCTTCATCTTATTACAATGTAAGAAATCTTTTGCCGTTGTACTGAAATCGACCCGATTTGACCCATTTATCATATTTTGTAATGAACCAAATGATCCAAACTACTCGAACCAAACAACCCTAAATTTGACCCAAACCCGAACCGTTGACCCGAATTGACAGGTCTACTGGGGACCATGTGAGGAGAAAGAAACAATTAAAAGAATAAGAAGAAATGTCTAATAAAAGATTTGCAACACTTTAAAAGAAAAAGGGCCGAAAATGGGAAGTGGTGCACTTAAATAATTCCGGAGGGAGTGTAATAGTGTATTATTAGTTCAAATATGTGTTTGAACTTTCCAAATTGTCATTGTAAATGAGTGATAGTGTTTGCTGGTCTTGTACTTTCTGAAAAAACAAAATGTTCTCCTAGTTATCCTAAATCCCAATCTTCTGGGGATTGTGCAGTCACTATGTATACATATGCAGAAGGTAATGCATGTGCGGGCTCTTTGTTCAAAATTTTTTGGATGATTTAAGTGTACAAGTGGAGCTTATATATTTACATATTTGAATGGATATATGGTCTCTATTTGGCAGATAGTGACTCTGTCAGCGCTGATCTTTCCCATACCATTTTCTTCTTTAGTCTGAGGTTTAAGTTAATCTTTCAATTTGGTGATTGAATTTTGTGGGCGGAAAATAGGGAGGACATGTCATTACAAATTATTTCCTTAATTTCCGGGCCCATGTCGATATTTTATTCTAAGATATTTGTTGTTATGCAGTCTAAAAGTTATTCAATTGGACACCCTTTTCCCCACCTCCTAGAAAGCTAGTAGCTTTCTTTTTTATTTAAAGGATGGCCAACTAATATTGGTATTGAATAAACCCACCATTCACATGCTGCTATGAAAATAATATAAATTTAGTAAGGGAATATTTTGAAAAGTATAGACTGAAAATGATTAGCAGGGCTTGCATCCATTGGTGGCTGATGCTGGTAATTTTTGTTGGGATTGGTTGTTTGAATGGGTATCCTCTCGAGGATATTGTGGTAGGATTGCCTGGCCAACCAAAAGTTGGATTCAAACAGTTTGCTGGCTACATTGATTTGGATGTTAAGACTGGGAAGAGCTTGTTTTACTACTTTGTTGAAGCTGAGAAAGATCCAGACCATAAGCCTCTCACTCTTTGGCTCAATGGAGGTTAGCTTCTTACTCTTCTGTCTGCTTCATATCCTGAGGATCCATTGCACATTTTTTTTTCCTTTGTATTTGAATGTATTCTTCTCGCTCTTGGAAGACAAGCACCATCGACTGCTTTGCATTCATCATTATTGTTTATGTATTGCTATTCCGCTAAGATGCCCTGATATTACTATGCCGGCTGGAGTATCTACAAGGCCTTTAGAATTTCATACCTAAAATGAGAGACCAAATAAGCAGCTTGATTACAGCGTTTAATAGTAAATTCCTACTTTTTTTGGTCTCCTGTTTTCTGCATTTTATCAGATGTGCTCCATACCTTTGTTTGTTGAGACTAATAAGAACAGTGTAGATAATTGCTGACTATTATTATTCAGAACTGGTTGTCGTAGCCCTTCACTTCCCATCCCAACCCCCCCCCCCCCCAATCGTGCTGTGTTTTGTTTTCACCTGCATTTTGGTTTGCAGGCCCTGGTTGCTCGTCACTTGGTGGTGGTGCCTTTACGGAATTGGGACCATTCTTTCCTACAGGTGATGGTAGGGGTCTTCGAAAAAATCCAAAATCTTGGAATAAAGGTTGTACCTATTAACCATTCTTTTAGAAGCTTTCTTATCTCCTGCCTACATTTCTAACCCACATTATTGGTACTTTTATTTTTTTCTGTGTCGATTACAGCATCAAATCTCCTATTTGTGGAGTCTCCTGCTGGAGTAGGCTGGTCATATTCAAATACAACGGCTGATTACAATGCCGGGGATACCTCAACAGGTGTGGTACATTATTTTAGGCCCATTTTTGTTCTATTTACTATATCAATGAAAGCTTCATCCTATTTTTATCTACAGCAAAAGACATGCAACTTTTTATGATGAAGTGGTATGAGAAATTTCCAGCTCTGAAATCGAGGGATTTCTTTCTTACTGGAGAAAGCTATGCAGGTAGTGATCTCATTGTATGATGATCAACATCTCAATAGTTGTCTCCTTCCTTTGTCCCTTCCTACTTGCTCCTTTGCAGTTATAGCAAAATTATATATATCTATCTTTTTCAAGCACTTATAGTTCTTATACATATATACGAAAATTTGAGGTGACTGATGGTGGTGCTCTAATATGTATTTGTGTGCTTGTTATGATGGAGGATAATCTACAGGGCATTACATACCACAATTAGCTGTTGCTTTACTGGATCATAATGCCCATTCTACTCGTTTTAAGTTCAACATAAAAGGAGTTGCTGTAAGTCATTTTGTGTAATTTCACCAATCTTACCTCTTTTCTTATCCCAACCTAAAAAGAAAGTAAAAGGGAAACCTTTCCAACAGTTGTAGTGACCCTCTCTCTGTCTTTTGGTCGATTAGATTGGAAATCCATTGCTCAGACTTGATCGAGATACTCGGGCAACATATGAGTTCCTATGGTCACATGGGATGATTTCTGATGAAATAGGCCTCACCATAATAAAGGAATGTGATTTCAGTGATTATAGTTTTGGTAGTCCTGATCATAATGTTTCTGGTAAATGCTATGATGCAATAACAGAAGCTCAGCTCAGCGTTAGTAGCTACGTTGATAACTATAATGTCATTGTAGATGTTTGTTACCCATCGATAGTGGAGCAAGAATTTCGGTTGAGAAAAGCGGTATGCTTCATCTTCATTCCTTAGTGATTGCTTGTTCCTGATTTAAATATTTCTGATTCCTGAATTGTGTCTCTGTCTGCTGATGTGCAGGCCACTAAAATAAGCTTGGGTATTGATATTTGCATTAATTACGAATCTGGATTCTATTTCAATCTTCCAGAGGTCCAAAGCGCTCTCCATGCAAATCGAACAAAATTGCCCTACAGCTGGTCCATGTGTAGCGAGTATGTCAACTAATAGGAAGTTTTTGTTGGCATTATTGTTTCAGGAGATCCTTCTTAAGTTTCCTGGGAGACCTCATTATTTGGCTATGGGGCTGACATCACTGGATCACTGATATTTGCATCTTTTCTGTGACAGAGTTTTGAACTATACCAAGACTGACGTCAAGATGAATATGCTTCCCTTGCTTAAAGGAATCATCCAAAAAGGTGTTCCGGTTTGGGTTTACAGGTAGAAGCATGATATACGATAAATTAATTTTACTCAAGTAATGGAGATACAATCCTGAATCCTTTTATGTTCAATTTTCCATTACTCAGCGGAGATCAAGATTCTGTAGTTCCACTGCTGGGATCCCGCCAGATGATTCATGAACTTGCTCGTGAACTAAACTTTACAGTCACTGCTCCTTATGGAGCTTGGTTTCACAAAGGGCAGGTAATTCTCTCCCAACTTTTTATATGGTTGTGTCAAATGAAAAAACACTAGCCATTATATATAATATGTACATTTAGACACAGCATGCTTATCTAAAGGATGCAAATATGCTGTGGTATATGTAGATAATTAGTGAAGTTGGAACAACGGCATTTCTGCAACAACCATATATGTTTATTATTACTTTATTAGTATGTTTGGTACAGTTGAAGAATTGCGTTTGTATGATACATTTACGTCTGATCTGTCTGGTAACAGGTAGGAGGTTGGTCAACTGAGTATGGAAATTTGTTGACCTTTGCCACAGTAAGGGGTGCTGCACATATGGTGCCCTATTCACAGCCAGCCAGGGCTTTACACCTCTTTAGTTCTTTTGTTCGTGGTCTAAGATTGCCTAATTCAACACGCCTGCCCATAGATGACTAGCAATATTTAGCAATCGCATGAATTAGAATTGGTACGGCATCTCCATTGCTATGCTGCAAGGAACCATCAGTTTATGACAGGCAGATTCAAGTGCTATTTCTTAGGCAATCTTAGGCAGTAACTAATTATTTCTTAGGCAAAAGTTTATTTTTTTATTTTTTGTGCGAATTTCTTAGGCAAATGTACACATAGTACAGCAAGACTGTGATGCACGAATTTGTCAAATGGTTGTCGTCTCCCGTTTTTGAAACGTCTTTAAGGCGTCCCCAAGACATTAACATCACTGATTAATGTATTACATTATACATTTATATGGAGTATAAATACATCAAATTAGTATAATTCACAAAAATTGGCAAACTCTGACCCTAAATTGGCAAATCCTGACCCTAAAATTGAAAATTTGCCCTAATGCACACAACAATATCATATGATAAGTTGCTAGATCTAAGGCACATTTTTTTGGAAAGTCGTGGTATACCATTTGCAGTGATCAGAAGTTTTTTCTAAAAAATAAAAGATAAGAAATTGCATGAATTACGCACTACAAACTATTACAGACTGATCATAAAAATTGCTTGAATTGAAGCATCAAATAGAGATGAGAGAGACAAAGATTAGAGAGTGAGAGACGATGAGAGAGAAATAGACCTTTGAGTTTGCTTTGGTCGTTCACTTGTCGGAGCGTCGTGTCGTTCAACGGATGTTAGAGGAGATGAGACTAGAAAGTGAAAAGCTGAGAGAGAGAAAAACTAAAATGTAGTTAAGGTAAATGACAAGTGGACTTTGGTCGTCACTCGTCAGAGCGCCTTTGGGTTTGATTGAGTGGGTTTTGGGTAAATGACGAGTGGACTGGCTCAAAATGGGCTTCAGCTAAAAATTTCGGTCCATTTTGAGCCATTTTTAGTCGGGCCAAAAACTAATTAAAAGTGTCATTTTTGTATTTCCCAAATGTAGGGAATTTTCCCTCGCCCTGCCGTGGGTCATGTTTTTAAGCATGGCGGCACTCCAAGGAAAAGAAGCTAGAGAAAAAGAGTCACCAACAAGTTTTAGGAACTTATAAACCGTTCATGATTATGAAGGTTACACCCCATTCACAATCACAAAGATTGCTAACTCCATAATGGTCCGGAACCATGAATGGATGTTCGGGGATGATGATACAAATTTGACCTGAGAGAAGCCAAACCCGCCCTAAATAGGCCTCTACTTAATTCTTTTGATATTCATGCGTGCTTTTCAATCAACATACATACATCAAATTAGCCAGCCCTAAACCTGTTTAATCTACGTTGGTTGATTATTAATGCACAATCAAATCTAATATTGGTGATCACTTGAATTAATATCATATTAAGCCTAAATCCAATTATTAATTATCTTATTAAGCGTGATTTCAAGTACAAATTCTCTTTAAACCTGCAAAAAAGACGTGATCAAGCAATAGCAATAAATCATAAATAATCAAGCAACATATGATCAATATAACAATCATCATCATAAAAACATCATCAAAACATTGTTAGTAGTAAGACCCTAGGCATGATGCTAAACAGATTAATAACAATGAAAGGAATGGTGTCCTTCCAACAAGTGTATTATTCCGATAGAGGGTTCAGAATTATTACAGAGGTAATTCTTCAGTAAGGTCAAGTGATCGGAATGCCTAGGTTGGAGGCCGCTTCCGATCAGTAATATCAGGGTACAATTGATATTACAGCTTAATCTTAATTGAACCCTTCGGGTCGAACCCAATCGAATCTCCGATCCGAGACGTCGAATTAATCCGAAAGGATTTAATGAGTCGACAGAGTTTTACGAATACAGACGTCGAAAATCGAGCCTAGGGCGTCGATACCGAGCGTCGCAAAATCACAAGCAACAAGTATGAGCATAGCCGTAGCTAGGCTAGGCTAGCTCATAGCATGCCTAGGTGCACCATGTGTGTGCTAGGCGCACCATGGTGTGCTAGGCACCATCGCAACCTAGGCACACCCTGGCAACCCATCGCATGCTAGCGTGGATGCCTAGGTGCGCATGGTAGCCATCGCAAGCCACCACACTCATCGCAAGCCCATGCGCATCACTAGGCGCACCATGCGTGGCTTAGGATGGTTGGGCACTGTCGCAAGCCTAGGCAGTCTATCGCAGGCCCTGACATCATGCCAAGGCGTTGTCGCAGCCCTAGCATGATGCCTGGGCACCATCGCAGATCAGCACATGGCAGGACCACACGCACACTCTAGGCACAGCCATCGCAGTGCTAGGCACTGGCGCATGTGCGTGTGCGCGTGCCTCGCATCAAGCACAGCCACAGCAAGTGCTGGGCACTGGCATGTGCTAGTGCGAGGATGGCTAGCAATGCATGTGCGTGTGCTTGCGTGCGTGCCTTCGCATGGCAGCACCAAACACATCGTGCTAGCAACGAGCACCAAGCCCAGCATGCGTGGCTCGCTAGCAGCACGCATGCTAGGCCTTGCGTGCATGGTGCGCTGGCCGGGTAGCTGTGCGAGAAGGGGCTATGCGAGAGAGGGCTGGTGCGAGAGTGTATGCGAGGGAGTGCTAGGCAGCAGCACTAGGCTAGCAGCACCAGCGCCTAGCAGCTCGCAGCGTGCTAGGGCTGATGCGTGCTAGGCCAGTGCGTGCCAGCACAGCTTACTAGCACAACAAGCTGGCTGGCTTCCCAGCCTTGGTGCTAGGCGCCAGCTGGCAGCCTTGGCAGCCAAGGCAGGCTGCCAGCCCTGCTGTCCATAGGGTGACGATTTTGGTGAGGGGTGGGGACCAAGCATGGGCAAGGCCTTGAGGAACAAGGCAATGGTCCCCCCACCCATTCATGGTCCTCACCTAACCCTCTCTCTCTATTTGACACTTGTTGCATTGTGATTAGTTTTGTTTAATAATTTATTTTAGAAATAAATTAATTAGCAAAATTCATTCTCCCACATTAGTGGAGGATGAAAAATCAAGGGATCATTTCCCTATAAATACCAAGCTTGGTATTGGGATTTGACACAACCTTGAGTGGAATTAAAAAGGCAACTCTAGAAAAGAGTAAACCTTTGATTCGTAAAACTCATAGTTATTTTGTCCGGGTCTTGACTAACCTTCAAGACTTAGGACGCTCGGGTCGGGTCGAGGGTACGATCCGTCGGAGATCTCGTCTTTTCGGGATTTTGAAGTAAGAGCTCTTTAGGAGCTAAGCACGCGTCAAAGGTATAATTCTTGTCCTTAATCTTGTTTGATTAAGTTAATTATGCTTGTTTAATTGCTTTAATTAAGGGGCGGGTCTTGGTGGGTTTCCTTCCGCGTAGTGTCGGGTCACTACGAAACCCTACAAACAATCCTAGCATGTCACTAATAACAAAATCAACACGTTATCCTAAACATGATAATAGAAATCATAATAACATCCTAAACATGATATCTACTCCAAAATCAAAAGAATAATAAGAAGGTTGATAAAGTTACTCACTTTGATGCTTCAACCTTCTTGCTATTAAAACAATACACACGTTAGTAAATTTCAAGAAAGTTAAATCAACAAAGTAAATAAATCAAATATAAATTAAAATATAGATTTGGGACCAAACCCTCAAAACTATCAACCTTTCACAGTTTCACTTCGAGGTCGAAGGCAACGTCGAGTATGGTTTGGAGTATTCGAATCACGTAAAGGAAGTATTGTGTTTGTTTTGGGGTGTTTAGGCTAAAAACATTGGTTTTAAGAATTCAAGGGAATTCCGGGATGAGGGGATTTTTGAGACTAATTGTGACTGATTTTTTGATGATTGTTTATGATTTCAAAACGGGGAAAACGACCACTATTTATAAGGAAAAAAAAAGAGTCTGGACTGTAACACCCTAGAATTCCTTTCCTTTAAAATACCTATTTTGCTCTTTTTAAAATAAGAATTAGGAAATTCTAAGACATTACCGCCACCGTGAAAACGGCTAAGGCAATTATCAAAGACTCACAGTGGAAGACCCATTTCAAAAATCATTCAAAATAAGTTAACTTAAAAAGTCAAACCAAACAAAAGTAAAGTCAAACGAAGTCAACCTACAACCTGGAATCACTGTAGGCCCTTATCAACCCAAAAAAAAATTTAAAAACCTTTGTGTTAGTCTCACAAGCAAAATATATGATAATCAAACAATAAATCACATCATATTCTTATAGAAACTAAGCATGATTCGCTCTCCACTCATGTCCATCATGTATATGCTTCATCATCTGAAAAACTTCACTTTACTTTGTCCCCATTACTCGTCATTAAAAATGGGTCGTCATAGGGCCAAGATAAAGACAAGGCCAAACAAACATACAAACACACAATCAGCAATGCTGAGTACATAAACGTAAACAGTACATACTAACATGCTTTCATCCTATCAACATACAACTTACCTTGTTGCACCTTTTTACAAGCATACAAAACAACCAACCAACACATAGCTAAATAAATTGCTTATTTAATTTGATTACGCATCGAACGAGTTTCCCACCAATTCCCTCCCCCAAATAAATTGAGGTAAACTACACCGGGAGCTAACCGGGTATGCAAATGCCACATGAAAGTGACTGGACGTCCTGCGCATAAAATAAATAAAGGAAAATACAGCGCCCTGTACTCCCAGTACAAGTTATGGTCAAATATAAATTCGCATAACTCCCTCCCATATGTTCATACTCGAGGTATATACGTTCCAAGAGTTTTAGTGCGTAATCTCTTTCACTTTACATGATTTACATATTTTTAGACTTGGTGATGACTCTCAAACCATAATACAGTTAATCATAATAAATCATTCAAGCAATCAAAAACACCAATTTAATTCTTGAATAATTAGTGACCACATAAATTTAATGTTGAACCCTTTTTAAACTACCTCGGCGTTAAATAACACCTTAAGCGCATAAAGCACCGCAAATCTTATCCCTTGGTGTTTAGAACACCTTAAGTGCACTAGGCATTGCAATACATTTTATTCCTGTGTACTAAGACACTTAATAGCTCAATTCCCATGCTTAAAGCATCAATAAAAATTATATGAAGCATAACAAAATTCCCTTTTTATATTCCAAACCAAATTAAACATTTAGTTTAATTTAACATGCTCTCAATCATGCCAATAATAAAAGTGTGGTTTATATTCAACATGCCAACATAATTAATTCCAATCATTAATTCACCACAAATAATTCATACTTCACAAATCAATCACCAACATCAATCCAATCAACAATTCCAACCAATACCTATCATGATACTACCTTGGAATTAATTAAACAAAGCCTAGCATGCTTCTATACACTTGAATAATTACCGAGTACGCGAACGT